TGCACGAAATCCCATTGACCAAATAAAATACAGAAATGTTTAGATTATAATTGCGTGGGAATTTAATTTTAACTAGGCCTACAACAAAACATTACCATCATAACCATGTCCAAGATAACGTCAGTCTGAATGTATGTACTATACCTCGAAAGAAGCCCCGTCTGATCTGATTAGAAGCCATGCGCTTCGATTGGTGTGGGACAGAGGAGCACGTCCTCCTCTCCACCCATTTTAACCAATTTTCTACACCCCACTTTTGATTTCGAGTTGAAAGAACAGTAATTACGAATGACTGTCATGAATTGCACAGTTCGAATAAATTTGACAGTGTGGTCAAAATTTTTTAAGTTGATAATATTTTGTTTTAATTATGTTGAATATTTTCAGACGGTCACATTTTCCACTTAGGCCTACCATTGCTTCGCGGCCTATGTCAATAATTAACTTAATCTTCTAAAATGCCCTTTTGTACAGTAGATACAGAAAATTGCGTAGGCCTATATACTTTTTCTTGTGCATTTGATCGCCATGTTTTTTTTTTTTTTTGTTTTTTTTGTTTTTTTTTTTTGGTGGGGGTGGGGGTTTTTTTGTTTGTTTGTTTGTTTTTTGTTTTGTTTTGTTTTGTTTTGTTTTTTTTTTTTGTTCCATGGATTTGAAATTCTGAAATGAAAGATGAATGATGATGAGGAATTCAATAGTCTGTTCACGTGTGCTCTGCCAGTGGTGCGTATTTCCGGACCAAACCCGAGTAAAAACGCAATTGTACCTTACATTTCGCAACCATTTCAGTAACCACTCCATCGATTTTATGGGTGCAACGGGTATCGGAGGTTAAATTTATTGTGAAAACAATTCTACTGTACAGTTAGTAAAATGGAAGCGGGTAAACCTATCAGGCAAACCTTCTTACTAACTCATAATGTGCACAATTTCTACTATAAACGATTTATTACTTTTTTTTACGGTATATTATTAAAACCTACAGTTTTTTAAATAATTTCTGCTTTTTCCCAATTTAAAAAAAATATAGTTAGTCAATTGAATTTTATATAGCCGTTATTAAACAATAATTATCTCACTAGTTGCTCAGTCGGCTAATCTGGTGGTAGCCACTGTGTGTGTGCTGAACAGAGATGCTAGAATTAAAACAATAGCAATAATTTTTAATATTTCCACAAGAAAAAAACGGAGGCTATTGTTTTTACCAGTGTTCTTCATGTTGATGTTACAATGTTTATATTAATCTATTAATTAATTAGTAATTAACTAATTTAAGATATTAATTAAGATATATTAATTAAGATATTCGTAAGTTTGTGTGAAAATTATTTAAATAATTGCAGTTTATTTATACGGCATTTCGACGGATATTTGTCACCTCGTGTGAACCATCCTGAGCTATGCTTACCAAAATGCGCATTAATCTCGCGATAGTATTAGCATTTGTTTTGTTTTACATTTATATCCAGCGTTAGGCCCACTGAATTGTTTAATGCTTAAATAACTGAAAACATAAATTATTTGGTTTAAATTATCATAGAATTTACAATGAAACTTATATTTTATAAGAAGATTTTACATTGACGACGTAAGTTGATTTAATATGCTGAATCATTATTAATTCTATAAATTAATTAACAAATGTCTCATTAATCACACTATCGTAATAAATATGCCTATTGAAGTATGAAGTGTTAATTCTTTATTAAAGCATTATTCGAGCACCTTCAGAATCAAATACAGTACGGTAGATAACATTTTATTTAAAAGCAGGTTTTGCATGGACGTAATATTATTTAATATGCTGATTATTATTATCTCATTAATCAAACTATCGTAAAATTATTATTATTATTATTATTGTTTGTTTATTTTTGGTTTTATTTTTACATGTATGCCTAGGCCTAATATATAATGTAGGCCTATATATTTAATAATTTAATTAGAAATAGAACCAAATCGGCACTGCGGCAGTGCCGATCCGATAGGCACTACCGCTATTGCCCCGGCGTCACTAATTTGGATCAAGACAGCGCGTACGAAATTATCTTCAATCACTTCCCCTGATTCCACGACGTGCACATGACAATCAGGACGCTACGTACCTCTCTTATTGTGTTGACGCTGGGAACGTTTTACCTTCCTATCATGCACGATAATAGTTGCTTCCTTTTTACTATTTGTATATGAATGAAATACTAATTATATCTCCGTGCATTTTAAAATTCTGAGAATATTCATCGTAATTGTTATTTTTTAAAGAAACATCGTACCGACGTCATCTAGTTTTCTACACTAATTTAAGTGTATGGGTAGTCTTGCAGGGTCTTTCATATTCATATATTATATTCATATATATTTATAGCGCCTTTCTTTGCAGATACGAAGCGCTTCTCTCCCTGGTCATTGGATCCACATGCTAAAGTGTTGTTGCTGTATTCAGCGAAGGAGAAGCAACCCCACCAGGTACCCATTTATACTCCTGGGTGGAGAGAAGCAATGCAGATAAAGTGCCTTGCTCAAGGACACAAGCGAAATGTTCTTAGAAGACTAGTGAATAAAGTTATACTAAATAACTTCTAATGGTGAACTATTGTCTGCAGTTGTCTTTGTTGGTCATTCAACTGTCATTTTATCTATTTTTTCGGTGATATTACCATTCTCAATAACCTACAAAACACCCATATAACAACGTAACGTTGAATCGATTGGTGGGAACGCCGTAGTGCGGCCGGTAGGGTCAATTTTTGTCGGAAGGTATCAAGATGATAAACAGTTTTATTGGACTAAATTCTTGCTTATGTTAACCACATATTTAAGATTATACTGACACTGGTTTCAAATAAAATAACTGACTTTGGTTTGTATCAAGATTTTAAACGATATTAAATTATATTTTAAATAAGTTTTACAATTTCTATATATATATTTATTGTTAAGGCAAATTTTACAGATTGCAAGTATTATTTCAATTGCTCATTATTATTTTATGTGTAATGGGAATAGTGCATTAGGAGACCTACATGATAGTTTTATGCTTTTATTTTGTTGTATTGTAACCGGTTGTTGATTTTTATGTATTTTATTGAGACAAAATAAATGAAATGAAATGAAAAAGTACATGTCAAAAGTACATGTAAAATATGTCACAAATACGTATGCAAAAATGCACAGGGACACCACGCTGTTTTTGTATTTTTCTTGAAATCTGTATGCCTGATCACCATCATCATATACAGTATAATAGATTCAAGTAAGATGTTTCAAATGATATAAAAATTTATGCAAATGCCTTTGGAACAGTTTTTTTTTTTTCGAGTTTTTTTTTTTTTTTCGAGTTTTGTTTTAACCTTGACGTCGACACCGTCTTAGAAAGCACCACTGGATTAATCACACCAGGTTTAATCATCACGCTGTTTTTGTATTTTTATCACAGTATAATAGATTAAAGTATGTTTTAAATGAAAATTCATCGTATCCATTATTAATTATTATCAATACGGCATGGGTCATATCATTGTAAACATGAATTATAGTTTGTATTTTTAATGTATTACTAGAGATAGGTCCTTGCATTCAACAATTATGTGGATATTCATTGTGCTCTCTTATCCGCAGTGCGAAAAAATCTATCGGCACTGCCGCAGTGTTAAAAAGCAGTGCCAATTTATTAATTAATTCGTAATTAATTGAAGATATTAATTAAGTTTATATTAATTAAGATATTCGTAAAGTGTGAAAATTATTTACATAATTGCAGTTTATTTATACGGCATTTCGACGGATATTCGTCACCTCGTGTGAACCATCCTGAGCTCTGCTTACTAAAAATACGCGGTAATCGCGCGATAATGTTAGCATTTGCATACACGAAAACACTTTGCCAATGCTTTTGTTTTTTGTTTTGTTTTAAATTTACATCCAGCGTTAGGCCCAATGAATTGTTTAATGCTTAAATAATTGAAAACATAAATAATTTGGTTTAAATTATCATAGAATTTACAATGAAACACATTTTATAAGATTATTTTTTGAAACAGAATAAAATAGGTAACTTTTTATTTAAAAAAAAAAGATTTTACATTGACGACGTAAATTGATTTAATATGCTGAATCATACTTGATATGCGTTTATTGTTATTAGTTTTTTATATACATTTGTCTTTTTGGGGTCAAATTGAGACAAGCTTTGCATCTATTTTTTAACCTAATTAATAAATTTTAATTTTGTTCACTTTATTTATCATTTTATGTATTTGATTAATTGAATAAATGTTAATTGAATTGATAATTGAATGGATTATTAATGGTATAACCTATTATATATTTCTATAAATTAATCAACAAATGTCTCATTAATCACACTATCGTAATTATACATTTTTTTGTTAAAAAGAATTATTCGAGCACATTTATTATTATTATTATTAATATTAATATTCGTTATTATTTTATATATATTATTTATGAACCATATTAACATTAAAACATGAATTAGCCTATGTGGATAAAATTATCACAGAAAATAAACTTATAATTTATAAGATTATTTTTTAAAACAGAATCAAATACAGTACGGGAGATAACATTTTATTTAAAAGCCGGTTTTGCATGGACGTAATTTTATTTAATATGCTGATTATTATTATCTAATTAATCAAACTATCGTAAAATTATTATCATAATTAATTTTATTATTATTATTATTATTATTATTATTATTATTATATATATATATATATAATTATTATTATTATTATTATTATTGTTGTTGTTATTATTATTTTATTATTATTATTATTATTATTATTATTATTATTATTATTATTATTATTATTATTATTATTATTATTATTATTATTATTATTAGTTCATTTTTTATGCCTAGGCATAATAGAAAACAGCAGCTTTTTGGCACTGCGGCAGTGCCGATAGAAAACAGCAGCTTTTTTTCCGCACTGCGGCAGTGCCGATAGCCACCGAAAATACTTGTTGTGCGAAGGTTTAGATCACCGCTAGATCATACCGGCTGGGCAAAATGAATACGGTTTTATCACGTTTAAATACGATATTTGCCTTTACATTAAGTGTGATGGCAGCTCTTACCTTTGGTTGCTTCTTAACTACTGCATTTAATGATAATTTAGCGCCAGTGCATATAGATACATTTAAACACTCTGTGTAAGTACACGTGTACTTCATGTTTTGGTTTTGGGCTTACCTAGGCCTAGCCTGGAATCCGCCTGGCTGGTGCCGGTGGCATAGTAGGAGGCTTAGGCTTAGGCCTAGTTAGTAAACGAAACCCTGTATTTAACTCATCTAGAGCTTGGACCCATATATCGGGTTTCTTCTACCTACCCTTATACATAGGCCATATTTTTTTCTAAATTTATTGTTAGGCCTATATACCGACTAATAGATTCAAGGCATTTGATTGGTTAAAAGCCGGGCGATAATTTCATCCATGCCCGGCTAGCCGCGAAAAGTCTTTCTGTTTTGCCCTCTCGCAAATTCACTCGTATAGGAAACAACAATGGCAGAGTATTCCAGATTTAAAGTGGTTCATGAATATAAGAAATGTTGGTGAATTCAGCAGCCAGTGATAATACGAAAAATACCAAATACGTACGCCGTCTGAAAATTTGAAGTGTATCTTAAAAGGCTGAAGCTATCAGCACTGCTGCAATGCAAAAAAGCTACTTTCTATCAGCACTGCCACATTGCAAATATAGCTCCTATTTTCTATCGGCACTGCCACAGTCGAAAAGCTGCATGTTTAATTAATCAAAAAGGATATTTTGATCAATAGGTGACATTGTATCAATTATTGATTAGGTCTAGCCAGCATATATTATTGTTATTAGTCATAAGTGTGAAAATCGTCAACTGTCAACAACTACCAACATATTAATTAGCGTCAACAACAATTTCTGTGTTACGAAGTGTTTCTAAAACAATTGAACGAGCAGTTCATGATGATAATAATAATACTTATATAATATATAATGCTTAACACCAACAAGTCCTCTAAGCGCTTCACATTATTGAAACCCCGACATCGAGATTGGGAATGTAAACCATTCCAATTGCGCCAAACCACTTTCATATGATCTTTTAACTTCTAACAAGATAAATTTAAGGATCTCAATCTGGTTTTAGAAAGAACCATTCTACAAATACTACCCTTAATAGATGTATCTGATCACATACTTAATAATTTTAATGATGGTAAAGTAACAGCTGCCTGGCCATATTTTTTTTTTTTTTTTCGTAGGTTATTGTACTAATAAAGAACAAAATGTAGATTTTAATGAATATTTTACAAATATTGGAAAGAGAATATCATGGATTCGATAACCCATAAACTAACTGGAAGAATTGTGAATGCAGATATGTATTTTTCGTTTAAGAATTTTGAACATGAAATTTATGTAACCAAGACTTCATTTAGATACAAGATACAAATGTAAGGGATACACTATTATTATAATTATGATGATTTCAAATTAAACTATAAAAATACAATCTAAATTAAACTACCACTTTTAAAATACTGTACTTGAAATCGTTTTATAAAATTTATGATATCTCTATATTTCTTGAAACTATTTGGCTCATCTTGTAATATTTACTACTGAATTTTATTATTTTAATTTTGGAAATGTCTCTAATATGCAAAACAGGTTGTTATACCCTCCTGATATGTTATCCTGTTCAACAATAAATAGTAGAATTAATTATGCTAACCCTAACCCTACCATACTCATATTTTATTTGCGAATAATCAGTGGATCCTTTGGTTTTTAGTATTGTTTTATTTGAATGAATACGATAGATCTGGAATCAAGTCAGCTTGAATATTAGATTTTCTTCATTCCTAGGTTTTGAACCAAGTAGTTTTGTGGGACAAGATAATTTTGCGAGGAAACAATGCATTGCTTGACTACAGAAGTATAAAAATGAAGTATCCATTTTTTGATGATGGCAATGGACTGAAGTAAGTAATTCACTAAACTATTTCCAAATGCATCAATTTACTTTACATAAACACAAATAAATCAAAACTGGCTATCAATTCAGATGCTCTTGCTTTTATGTGACAAAAATGTGATATGTCTGTATATGGGCACATCACACAAATTTGTCCCAAAGTTTCATGTACTTCAGTAATCCCAGTCCACACTAAATAAACTTGCATACAGAGTTATGTTACCGCAATATGGTGGGAATCTTCCCGGCATTGCCTTCTATATGAATAGGTCAGGGCTAACCGCAGCTGCAATTTTGGGGTTACAGTACGCAGTGTTCCATCTCAGACATAGTAATATTACCGCAATATTGTCATTACAGCGCGTTCGGGCATTTGTAAAATGAAAACAGGTCACATTCCTATTACTCCTTAGGTGAGACTTTACATACATTGTTTAGCGAACCCTCCAAATAATGATTTCAAATAAAATTTTAAATTAGATTTTAAAATTTTTTATTGAAATCTCCAAAATTAGGATATTTCTTCCCTAATAATTAGGCCTATGTAAATATATGTGTTACCCGTTCTCGAAAATGTACTTGTTGCAGCATGTCATGCATTACATAGAAAATATTATGTGCTGCATATACCAAAGGTAGAATAACATCAAGGAAATTTTTCCAGCCTTACCATTATGACATAATGCAGTTAGTGCATTTTCTAATAATAGTAACAATAACAATCACCCTCAGTCTCTGATGACTAAAAAGATTACCCAATGGCGTGCAGGTTCTATTCATATAGAAGGCATAATATTACGGCAATATTTGGTTCAACCGTTGGTATGAATGGTTTATGCTCGTTAAGTCTAACAGTCTTATTGCCGCAATATTGCCAGAGAAATCGCCCCAAGTCTATACTACTCACACACTTGCGTTCTGACTCATCAACAGTTATTAAATTCTTTAGTTTTCAAGAGATAATAACCAAGAATTATTTTTTGTTTTTGATAGGGGTCATGATAACATCACGCTCTCTCTCTCATGGAATGTCATTCCAAATGCTGGCATGCTTCCGCGTATCTATGGTGATGGACAGACTTCATTTTCTCTACCTATTGAATATTCAAATCGACAGATGTAAAAAAGTTCAAGGGATTATTTATACAACAGCTATATTATTTTGCACATTTTCAGTTGCCTAGTTTGTTTTTGATTACACGTTAAACACTTGCATATCAAAGCGTGGACAACAATAGATGAAGGCCTATTTAACTATAATTGTGTTCCGATTGAATGTTGCACTTAATTCAGGTGTATTTTAAAATTTATAAGGGAGCTTTTAATTTGTTCGACGACGCAACACTAGAACGGAATCACTCATGTGTAACCATCCTAACCTGCATCAAAAGAGCTTATTGAAGGGCTTAAGCCCTGTTGGCCATTACCAGTTGGAATAAAGCATTTTTTCTTTAAATTTTTATTTTTTAAGTTCCCACAAACGGCTGTGTAAAAGAATGCATATGCATCTGTAGGATAAACACGTAACCCAGGCCATATTAAGTTTGATTGACATTCCCGAAAGATCGGGAGTTCATCTGGAATTGATATGCAAAATAAAAAAGAAGCTTTTAGTGATTATTGTACTCCAATTTTGTTCATTTCTACTAGCATTCCAGTGGAATTGTAGGATGTGAATACAATAATAAATGTGCTTGTTGCAACTCATGACTATTAAGTAAACAAGCACAAATGAATCCATGTTTTTTATACTCTATTATAT